CTCTGTTCACTTATGGTTCCCTCCACACTTTTTGGCCAACTACTTACTTTTTAAGGTCAGTCTTGGCATTGTATTGCAAATATTTATTACACCGGCGACTCTGGGATGTTGGCAAGCTCTTTCGCAGAAGTGCAGCGTGCCTCGTACTGGATAACTGTGTCTCCAATTAAGGATTATTGTCGGTCAGAAACAAATCGGTTTCTCCTTTCTCAGTAACTGAGGCAATTTGGTGATTCACAAGACTGACAGGAAGTTGAACTCCTCATGAACATCACTTTATTTGAACTCGGTATTTCTTGCAGTAGCTGAAGACACGATTGGACGTTCACAGAGATTATCTTCGGTGTGTTTCTAACCCAAATATGATGGGTTAAGAAGAATGGTGTTAAAACTTGCTCACATTATCTCAAAATATGCCCCTGGGATATGAAATGTCAACTTAAGCGTTGGTTGTCCAACTTAAAGCCGCCTGAACCAGTCATGATGAATATTGCAGGGGCGCAATTAAAGATACCCATTAAGTTGGCTCGTAATACGTGTCATCTTACGCCATCCTCATCCCAATTAGATACTGATATCCTAATTATTTGAATCAACTGAAGATAAAGAAATATCTCAGTCAAGACCACGTGCAGCTTGATTCTGTTGAACGTTGTGCTCTCGTTCAGATTGAATACTATCCTTTCCACAGTCAACAGTTGTTTTTTTAAATTCTTGCAGTGGTGCCTTTAAACCGAGGTATTTTACCCACTGTCATGTAATATATTGTGATAACTTAGACAATTTATTTTCGTATTTTCGTTATACAGTCAGGACAATGGGGCTTCTTGAGGAATGTAGCGTATCCAGTCCTTGCTCAAATCCACCTAAGAATCTCGCTGGCCTTAAAAAGCTTGTTGCTCAAGGGCAATTCGTAACGGCATCCGGAAGTGCCTCTTTTGACGCCCTTCTAGGTATGTCAGTGCTTATGCTAGGGTATTTTTATGTAGGTGGTGGACAGATTGTCGGCACTACTTGTCTTTTTGGTATGAAACATGAGCTTCCAACTCATTTCTTTAGTCGAGGACATTCATGGCACCTATGCTAATTACTTCATAAAACTGTTTGCTGCGCAGGGCTTGGTTAACAGTCACAGGTTATGCTTAATCTCCGCTGTTGAATGCTACGATGGCTTTCTGAAGGTAATGACTTTCTGTTATACTATCAGCGCTCGCTCTAGAGCCTTCCCGGTTTGCCCGAGGCAAGTAAGAATCCAGATGCGTCTACAGGCGATGATTATTTGGATATTGCCTGGCGTTACAAGGATATATTACCACAGGCGGTAGGTCCTAAATTCTCCCTTTAAAACATCTCGACCCATAGACAGCCCCGCAGAAATCGTCATTCTCTCATCAGTTTGACATGGCCTCAACGCTGAACCTTGCGGACTACCCTACCAATGAAGTTTCAAAGTGCGCTCTGCGAGTAGATCCTCGAAAGAGGTAAAGACATTAACGAAGCTTTTCACTTATATTTGCCAATTTAAGCCTTCGCGATAACCTCGATACAGTCCTAGAGCACATTACTAGTATTGCCAGCAGTGACCAAAAACAAGTTAACAGGAGCAGTAAGTGTCTGCTTCAAATTATTCTCCTACCTTGTTTCAGTCATAGAGTCTTTGGCTTCGCCTCTCTGGGGTAGACAACCAGAAGATCTGCCAAATTGTCTGGCCAATTTTCTTCTGCGTTTGCGCCTGATCTTGCGAGACACCTTCACTGTCGTCTACCTCACTATACCACCTTCGATTATCAAGGTAAAAAGGCCAAACCTTCCACTCACCAAACATGCTCTTTGAACGAATATTCTCCACCACCCCACGTATCCCCAATAACGCCTGCC